TATATACCAAAGTGATAGGAATCAATAGAGGAATCTGTTTATATCAATAACAATGACCTATAATCTGTTTGTATTATATTTTCTGTCAGACAAAAACGAATGAGGAAAAAAAAAATTGCGCAACACCTCTTCGAAAATTTCGACTTACCGCATTTTCTCAGCTCTACAAGTCCTTATAATCCATAGGAATCAACACAAAACACATTTATGCAAGAATTTCACAAATTTAGTTGAATATTTTTCTTTGAAGGGCCTTTTTCTTATACCAGGCTCCGTGTTATTTACCCTTAGATCTAGCCTACATAGCGACAACAAAACAACGATTTTTGCAAGAATTTCACGGAGTTTCAATCGATATTGGCGCTCAGAGATTGAGGTTAGGTTTGTTTACTGGTTCTACTTCCTTTCGACAACTTAAAAAGTAGAAACTATGTTAAAAAGTGCACATTTGTTTCGGATTTCGCTCGGACTTCGTTGAGCCGCTCACAGCGGTCGAATGGATGCAGCGCAAAAACTCAGAGCCGGTGTCAGCGGCTGAATGGACGGAATCAGCTAACATTTGAATAAACAATGAAACAGAACTGTATCATTAGAACTCTTACCATTTCCAAGGAGAGTTTGTGCCCTTTGAGGGCTGCATAGTGAACTGCGTTGTAGCCATCATCATCTCGGATGCCCGGGCGAGCGTCGTGGTGTAGCAAGAGTTCCACCACCCTGTGAACAAGACCAAGCATTCTGCCACCCCTGACATGGAACACGACATGCACAACACATGCACAGAGGAAATCATTAAGACAGTTGATCTTGAGAGCTAGAGCAGTCACATAGTCACAGGCATATACAGAGTAAAGACTTAACTGTACAATGTTGTATCATTCTTTTACTTTGAGAACTCATGTGTATATAGAGAGAGTGTAAAACTTACTGAAAGATCTCACACTCCTTTTTAACTTTGAGCAGTCATATAAGCACAAGTGTATATCACGTAAATCCATAGCCATATGAGTTCACATTCTTCTTTTACAAAGTCCATCCAACGTTTCTTCAATCATTTTTGCTTGGCCAACATATCTTTTTGCTGGCATTCTTGTTTCAAGGAGTTTTACAGTTTCTTGGAACAGCAAGAAAGCTGTTTGGCCTGTTAGCACATTTACAACCTGCCTACCTATAAAATCAGATGTGATAGAAGAATGAAGCCCAGTGCAAAACTCTCAGCAACAAGAGAAGATCATCTTGCAACTGATAAAAGCTACAGAGCCTTTTACAACATACACACATCCAGACTCCCAAGATCAACAAACAGAAATGTTTATGCAACCTTTCATAAAAATAATAAACATAAAACAGAAACTACTGTATTCAAAAAAACAAAACACTGAAGTCCTTTTCAAAGAAAGTTATAAAAACGAATTTTTTTGACTCTTTATAAATCAACATACACTGTTCATGAATACAAATTCTTAAGTCCTTGGCAAAATTAATTAAAATTACAAACTCCTCTCCCCACTCATCATTAAAGTTTAACAGTACTCAGGAACTTGATTGTGGTCAAACATAGCATATCATTATAACACACCAGCAAGACCGCTTTAACAATACTCAAAATACCTAGTACCTGAAAAAGTGACCAGCTCACAAGGCCACCTCTGAACGAAAAACAAATCCTGAGCAGACAAAAAAACCGACTCAGAGACCACATAAAATGTTGTGGGATTCTGCAGGGTGATTAAGTACCAAAAAAGATGCAAAGCAGTAAGATGAGCATACTTAGCATCAATGTCATTTGAGGCAGCATAGTGTAGGGGAGTGCACCCTCGGCGGTCGGTCACATTCACATCACTCCCGGCTGTTAGCAAAATGAGGACATTCTGAAAGTGGCAATGGGCGGCTGCATAGTGTAGAGGAGTCCTGGGGAAAAAATCCAGAAAAATATTGCTATATTTTTTTAAATTTATTTTTATAAAGTCTGATACTCTACTTGACATAATAAGTCATTTCAAAGGCCAGTGCAAAAGTGTCCGCCTATGATGGTTATTTTTTTTTCAACAGGATCCTTGGTTGACAAAAAAGTATAAAAGAGAGCTATGGAGATCACAAAGTAAATGTAACAAAGCAGGAGGGGAGTTTCACACTCGATCTTAGTGAAATAGCTGATTACTTACTGTATATCGTTTCTGGGGTTTTTGCATGTTCTTTTCATTTTTTTTTAAAACAGTATGAAATTGGAATTCGAGTTGCCCTGTGTCTTAAGTGTATTCAGTTCCATGCATTAGAATCAAGACTGTGCCTTTTAAAATTAAAAAAGTTGGAGCGAGGCCTTTTTCCACAGCTGCTCCCTCTGTGCGGGGTTCCTCCCACTGCATTTAAGAGAGGCCCTTGCTTTGACCGCATTTTTATTAAATCTAAAAACAAATTAATTCAAATCTAATTTTACCAACTAGTTTTATTCTTCTTCAAACAGCAAGTATGATACGTAGCCACAGTGATTTACTTTTTTTCATTTGTTTCAAATTCGCTACAACGCAGGATAAATAACTTTAACAAGTTGAGAGAGTGTTAACTTCAACTAAAATTTTGTACCTTCCATCAGCGTCTTGTAGAGACAGGTTGCCTCCCTCATTCAACAAGTATTCAACACATTCAACCTTCCTGAAAAAACAAAAATAATATGTAATTATAACCACTTCTACAGAGTTATCAAAATCAGAAACCTATCAATAAACAAAAAGTAAAATTTTTAAGAGAATAAAAATGTCTTCAAACAATACTGAAACCATCAACATTTCAAAGCAAAACACTTTCTGTGACTCTTGAGTTCATTAAATGAAACTTGCCTGGTTCAGAAGTTTAATTGTTAATAGAGCCCGCTTATTCTGGATGGCTGTTTGGGTAAGTAAAGGGGAACATATTTACAAGACTCAGAAACAACAGAGAGCAAATTGAAGAAGTAAGGATTACCAGTAGCTCAGTATAATGATGCAACTTATTTTGGTTATAAAACAATAATAATGATACATCGTGAAAATAGATGGGTTCACCTACCCACTACAAGCTGCTCCATGTAGACAGGTTCTCCGAGCATCATCGGGGATGTTGATATCAAAGGCAGGCATAGATGATCTAAGTTTATTTACACAGTCAACATAGCCATTGAGGGCGGCAACATGGATGGGCAACATTCCCATGTAACCTCGTCTGTAGAAACAACACACATTTTTTAATACGTGCCAGATGTTAGTAATGTATATGAAAAAAGATTGTTGGACACTGTTACAGTGGAAAATTACTTGAAAGTTGAGGTGAATGCTGCTGTAGAAGGAATAAACATGTTTATTGAGAATTAAACAGGGTGCGTGCAGTGTTAAGCAGTCGTGGTACACTTCTTAACAACAGAAAGTCAGTTCTTTAGTGTACTTCCTTTTTTATTTTTATCTTAATTTGCATGATTTGTAAACCATTGCACTTCATCAAAGAGAAATATAGTCTCTTTTCACAAGTCACAAATTAAGTGGTGTCTTATATTATTTTCTTTATTTTTCGTCAACATAACTACATAAATTTAAACCAAAGCTTGTGGGTGGCCGGTGCTCTGGTACCCCTTTTTTCCTATCAAACATCTATTATCTTGATCTTTCCTCTTTCTTTTTTGTGTTTGTTACTCTTTTGTAACACCTCTGATCTTCAGCGCTAATATGATCTTAGTGTGCTACAAGTGCCGTCACACTCTTACTAAAACTAAGCAAAGCTTTATCGAAAGACATGTTATCAAGAACCTCCATTTTTCTTCAGGGAAGTACATACATTCTGCTTTGGCCCTGACAGACTGGGTTGAAACAGCCTGTTTCATAAATGATCTAAATTGTGTCAACAGGAGCATAAAACATTTACTACAAAACTACAATGCTAAGAAGTCCATAAAGACAGACAAATAGTGGCTGGGTCAAAGCAGCAGCCTCATGACAGAGCTAAAATGTGTTGATTGGGCCATAAAACATCTAACAATAGAAATAAAATGAAAAGGACAGTCATAAATACAGACAAACAACAACTCACTGAATCGGGTCAGCCCTGTGTTCAAGCAGAGTGTTGATGAGCAGTTCATGGCCGTAGCGTGCTGCCACGTGCAAAGGCGTGTTCCCTAGCCGATCACACGTGTTTACAAGACAACCTGGCACCAATGAACAAACACATTTCAGACACAATGCAGAAATTAAAGGAGTAAATAGTCACCATATACTTCACTTTTTAAAAATTCAAAAGGGAGGAAGCGGAGGAGGACCCTAATAATTGAGGTACTAATACCAATGATCATTATTGTAATAATAATCTCACTCATCCCATAGGAGTACCCAGTATGCTTTGCAACTAAATTTACATTAAGTTACACACACTATTCATCACTGTAAAAAATAACGTGAAATATATCAGAAAGTCCAGTAAACCTGTTTTCCCTTGCGCACTTCATGATATAAGACTGGGTCCATAGGAATGGAATCAAGATCCAAAGAACAACCTATAGAACCATAATATGCTTCTTAAAGAAGAAAAACTTTTAAAAAGCTAAACGACATGCGCACACACACAC